CAGTGCTGGGGACAGAAGAGCAGAGGTGCAGGCAATGTGAGGGACAGGCAGCCTACAAGGCATGCAGAAAACACCTGTCCTCAGTGAGAGACACAAACCCTTCCATTGTCCTTTGTGCCCAACAATGGGCAGAGGACAAGCTGGAAAGCACAKGGAGAAGTGAAGGCTCAGGTTGTCTTCACTGAAATTCAGCACTCACAGAGCCCGAGCAGGACACGATGGAGTGCGAGTCAGAACGTGGTGTAACGATTGGCGATAAATGGGGAAGTTCTTGGAGCATTCAGACTTTGGGATGAATTTGAGGAGACCTTCCTTGAAGGACAGGCACCATCTGGGGGCCTGCTCAGGGTCTCCAGGGAGGAACAGCAGCTCTGCTGACATGAAGAGCCTTTAAAGCATCAAGGGGAGAAGAGGGTTARACACTTCACCTGGAGAGGCTACAAACCAACATGGCTCTTCTCCCTCAAAAAATCACCAGTAGAAGAGGCCACAGCGCAATCCTGAGCTCATTGCAGTCTCACAGGGACTGTGACACTGCTGCAGCCTCACACAGACTGATGTTTCTCTTTTCTTACCTTCCAACAGCATGGSATGGGCATCCCTTCCATTTCCATCATGCTTCACGAGCTGATCAAACTGCTGCACCATGCGAGATGCCGGGACGTTACCATCATACGCATCGGTACCTCTGGAGGCTTAGGTAAGCCATTCATGRTCTTTCTTCAGAGCAAACAGCTATTACTAAAAAAACTCACAGCAGTAGGTCATACAGTTCTGAACTTTAGCATTTTGTCAGCTCTCTAAATATCAAACATGGTATTTTATTTTGGGTTAAAACCCAGCAAACTTGTAGTGACTGGATGGGCAGAGTGCACATTCTCAGAGTGTATGAACGTCTTGAATCCACTACAGCCATGTGKCATTTTCCAAACAGAAAACATGGGTTGGTGGTGACCCAAATGAATCTGTGATCCCTGGCTGAGGCAGTGGTGCTGCCTCAAGCTGKTGGGGGGAACACGATCTCTGCAAGCCAGAAGCAGCTAAAACCCTGTCTCTCAGCACATTCCCACAATCACTTCTCTTGTGCTGATTCTGTACATTTTACTTCTACATCTGTGCTRCCACATGAATTTCAATTATCCTCTAACATCTGCTTTACTAACTGAAAAGAAGAACAGCCCCTCAAGCTCACATATATCTATTGAGATTTTCCTATGATGGAGGTTTGACAGCAGGACACAGGCGCTGTGAGCTCTGGTAGCCTCAGGTTCCGTTCCCACAGGGATTGAGGCCGGCTCTGTTGTGATCACCGACACGGCTGTGGACTCCTCCTTCCAGCCACGTTTTGAGCAGGTGGTGCTGGGTGATGTGGTGGTGCGCAGCACCGAGCTGGACAAGGAGCTTGCAGAGGAGTTACTCGCCTGCAGCAGGGAGATCCCTGACTTCCCCACACTCATTGGCCACACCATGTGCACCTATGACTTTTATGAAGGTAAAAACACCTTTGTCTGTCCTTCCTCCCCACACATAATGTCAAGTCTTTCTGCTCTTCAATGGACAAAGCTATCCAGGGAACCCAGGCAGAGACCCACTTGGGAGAGCAGGAACACAAGCACCTCTGTCTGCACCTTGCTGAGTTCACCCCTAAACTGTTCCCCACAGCAAGGTTGTCACTTCAGAACTACCAACACTAGGAAAACATTAGGTTGCCTGTGAGATTTCCATAAACAAAATTTGGTTACTCTGGAACCATTTCCTTTGTAAAATTAAATGCTGATTGCAGAGTAGATTAAATGTAATAAACAAAGAATTAATAATCTGGGCACTATTTATAACCTTTAGATCTGCTTGCAGATGCAGCCATCTGTGTATTGCTCAAGTCTGTGTTTTATTTAAACAAAAAGCCATTTGAGAGGATTAAAGTGGGAGCAGCAATAAACTGAAGGGCTGTCYCAGGTCGGCCCAGCTGCAGGTGAGCATTTGCCTGCCCCAAGGCTTTCAGACACTGTGAGAGGAGGAGCTGATGAGGCACAAACCTGTGCTGAGCACAGAGCAGGASAGCCAGAGCCATGGCTTACAGGGCTCACAGGAGAGAGTGGGATGGTGCCATAGCTGCCCACACGAGCAGTGTTGGTCCTGCCTGCAGGGATACCCAGAGCTGCAGCGGGGGAGCATCGGTGCCAGCCATGCCAATAATGCCTCCACAAATGGATCCACAGCAGCTCCTGCAGAATAATTAAACACACATTAAAGGGCTTTCCTCTCCTCAGTGTTTCCATTCTGCACAGCTCCTTTTGCAGTCCCTTGGCGTTTTTGGGAGTTAACCTGGCAGACCCTCACAGCTGATACACAGCATGGAGTCAGGAGTGGCAATGGCTTGTCCCCACAGAGCATCCCCAGTACTTCACACCTGTGGGCTACTCAGCCTTTCACCAGTGCTGAAACCTGCATCATTCTCTCCTGTATAGAGACACATAACACTGGCTTTAACACCAAGGGGAATACAACTTAACCAGCTACTCACAGGAAAACTTTGTGGGCTTCAGACCGAACATGGGCACTGCTGGATTTCCCATTTGCACCTACGCCCTGTGGCCCATGACCACATSAAAGGCCAACAGTGACAGCTCTCTGCTTCCTTTCCAGGTCAGGGGAGATTAGATGGTGCATTATGCTCTTTTTCCAGTGAAAAAAAGTTGGCGTATTTAAGGAGGGCATATGACGCTGGTGTGAGGAACATTGAAATGGAGTCCACGGCATTCGCTGCCCTGTGTGGGATGTGTGGCCTCAAAGGTGAGTCCCGTCACTTCCACCTTGTTCCCTGCTCTGGCTAAACCCTCTAAGGCAGTCCTGTTCAGTGCCAGAGAGCCARACACATTCTTAATGATTTTAACTAGAAAAGGACACGAAAACAAATTTTGTAGCTCAATAAAGCCCAAGTGTG